ATTTTAATAATCGTTAATTATTAATATATCAATAAATAAATAAATAAAATGTTACTGAAAATAAATAAATAAACAAATATATCAAAATAATACCTCATTAATAATAATATCAATCAAATAACATAATAATCGTACATAATAATATTTCAATATCTCCCATTTCAGTTTTAACGATGGCTACTTGAAAATAATCATTTAACATTTTATATCAAAATTAAAGAAAAAAATTGTTATCATAATCATAATAGTCAATTAATGATTTTGTAAATACCATAATTCCTCTAAAAAAAAAAACCATAATAATTATAACATTTCAATTAGAGCAGTAACTAGTTAGCCATAATCAATTAACGGTTTTATTTGAAGATTAAAGAAAAACAACGGCTACTGATTATAATTTTAATAATTATACAAATATTAAAATAAATAATATAAATATCTTGATTATAATTAAACAAATATTAACCGTTTTATATCAAAATTTAAGAAAAAAAGTTTGAATAAATTAACGGTTCCAAATTATTTATCCTGACTAATATTTTAATTAATATATTTATTATGGATTTAAAACATTAATAATTATGTATACTACCATTACTTTTGACTAAATTGCACAAATAACATTAATTTGAGTTGATATTACTGTCATTTGATTAATAAAATTAAAACAATATTTTTAACATTTTTATATAAACATTTTTACATATAATTATTATTATAAAATAAATTAATAATAAAAATTATTAAAACACAAGTAAATATACGAAAATATCAATTTTTTTAATATTTTAATTTTTCAAAAAAAGAATAATATGGAAAAAAAATTTTATAGACAGTATATATGATTGACAATTTCCCTAATAATAATCGGTTTGTTAAAAATGATAAATTTTATCAATACATATTCTTATTTTATTATCATACCAATAAATGAAGATTATTAGTAAATGAGAATGATACATATTTTCGTTTTATTTTGATACCCATTAAGTTTTATTATTGTCATTTGATTAATATTAATAAAATAAAAACAATTTAAATTTAAATTCAAAAATTAAAAAAAACTTTTAATTTATTGATTGAACTAATATATATTATAAATAATTTAAGTTAAACGTATTTATATGATAAATAATATTATAATTATAATTACTAATAAAAACTTTAATTATGATTTTAATATTAACATAAAAATTGTTGTAAAACAATTAATATATAATATTATTATAATAATTAATATAATTTGTAGATTATATTATATTTACTGCTTCTAGATTATATTATATATTAATTAAATAAATAAAATTAATTTATAATAAATATAAAATATTTTTAATTTTGGTAACTCCGCTTTACTATTTGAGTTTATTCGAACCTATTTATACTAGAGGGGTAGAGGCATTTCGTGCCTCTAATAGTTATTCATTAATAAAATACTATAAAGTTGTGTATAATTATTTAAAGAAAATTTAATTTTTTTTTACATCTGAGATATAATGGTCCATTAAAAAATGGAGACTAAAAAGCGGTTACATCTCCTATATCCCTTTTATAATAGTTATAGATATAATTGATTTTAAATTTTAAAAAAATTAACAATGATGAATATTATCATATTTAACCTAACAATTTAAAATTTAAAAAATTTAAATTAACTTATTTAAATAAAATATTTTTAAAATAATATAAATTAAAATCAGAATAATTCAAATTCTAAAAATTTAAAATTCTTTAAATTTATAAAATTAATCGTCCAAACTAACCAATAACATTGAAATCGCAAAAGACATAACGCCATTAACATTGAAATCGCAAAAGACATAACTTCGCGCGGTTAAGTGGATAAATCCTTTTCACTCACGAAAAAATAAAATGGTTAACAACTAAAGTTCTTTGAGCAGAAAACATTTTAGGCAGTGAGATAGGCCTAGTTCTTCTTTAGGATTATTTTTATACATAGAGTCAAAATATTTTGTATTTTAGTGGACGCGTTCAACACTGTTATTAAATGAAGTGGATAAATAAGAAGAAGAAAAAAGAGAGAGAATATTGAATGAATGTTTTGCAAATTATGATATGCAACGTTACATAGGTAGTTATATATTGTTTTATACTTTTTTTTCATTTTATCATTTGACCAATATATTATTAGAAGTTATAGTATACTTGAATGAGAAAAATGTCTAAGAAAAAATGGAGAAGAAAGAGGTGTATGATTGTATTATTTTTATATATTATATTATAGATATTATAGATACAAGATTTAAATTCTAAGATTTACTGTATAGGAAAAAATATATATATTACCGATAAATTATTAGTTTAAGTAAATATTAATTCAATTATCTCAAATAAAATTTTAAGTTTTAGTCTTATGATTGACGAAAAGATCTTATTTAGTCAAATAGTTTATTGACAAAAATTAATCATCACTAAAATTGTTGAATATTTTACATTAATATTATAGTTACAAAAAAATATATTATTTTCAATAAAAATTATATAAATTATTGTTTAATAAATATCCTTTTTTTTTACTAAAAAAACATTATGAACAAAATCTTATTAAAATCTTTCAATTTTCTTAAGAAAATAAACAAATAATAATTAATTTTCATATTTTTCAACACAAAGAATAATTTGTAATTAATAAAATTTTCTTAAGCAATCCCTTTATTTATTTATTTATTTATTTTTCATATACATATGGTGTCTCAAAATTAATAATAAAAGACTAGTATATACTCATGGTCTTAAGCTACCTCTTTAATCTTAAATAGTTAGCAATAATATTATTAAAAATAAAATTTTAAAAATCTCCTTAAAAATAATAAATAAATAATTCATAATATTTTTTTTATAAAAAACTCCTCATTATAAATTTATTTTCTATAAATAACACAACATAATAAATATTTTTTTAAATTTATTATTAAAAATATTTAATAATTTATTAAATGAGAAAAAATAATTAATAATTTATTACTAAAAATAGGTTATGTACCAACCGCATAAAGTAATGTAAAGTTTATTAACTTTTGTAATATTATCATGAAAGCTATATAATAATATTTTAAATTGGTTTACAAAGTAAGCTTATTTATAACCAAAATATATTGATAAACACAATGGTCAATCGGTATAAAATTGTTTTATTTTAATAAGTAGTATCAAATTTTAATAATACAATTACATTAAAAAATAAAAAATAAAAATTTCACTGCTTATAATGATCAATGATTATTTTTAGAGTTAAAAATGAGTCGAGTTAAATTAAATTGATTTAATTTAATTTAGTTGGACAACATTTGACTGAAATTATAACTCAACTCAAGTTTGATATGAATTTTAATTTTTTTTTATTTCAAAATCAATTGGGATTCAAATTTATTAGTAATTCGATTCAAATTGTTAACTCGAATCATATAAATTAAGATTCATTTTAAAATTTTTTTTTATATATTTCAAATTTTTAATTCAATAATAAATTTTGATAAAATAATTATTTAATTAAAAATATAATTTATTTTATTAATTTTGCAAAATTATAAAATATGACTCTAAAAAAACTTATTACAACTAACATTTATATAAACTCAAACTACTTTACATTATTAAAAAAAAAAAAACTTAATTTATAATCATTATACTCAATTTTAACTCATTTATTTACGAAAATTAATATTTAATTTAAGTTTAACTTATTTGATTTATGAACCAAATTCAACAATCGATTTAAATTTTAAATTCTTTTTGAATTGATTCGATTTATTGAGATTATTAATAAATTTATAATTAAATAAGAATATTGTTTAATAAGGATACAGATGATTTAACGAAAAATATTATAATAAAAATTAAAATAATTTAATTTAAAACCTTATTATTTTTTAATTAACACAACTCTTATTATGGAACACTGAAAAGAATTAAATTTATTATTTATTTTGGGGCAATGACCTGAAGGTGAATACAATACAACCACCACGCTTGCTAGGTGCGAGTGCGACTGAGGTTGAAGAAGCTTAGTTGAGAGTTTAGACGAGAGAGAGAGAGAGAGAGAGAGCGCGCGAAAGTTGTTGTTTCCATCTCTCAACCTGCACACCACAGGCCCACACACACTCCGACTTGAAGACTGTCAGGTAGACTACCTATTATCTCTCTCTTCTCTCTCTCTCTCTCTCTCTCTCTCTCACACACACACACTCACACTCTTACTCACCCTTCAGCGCAACATGAGAAATCTGCTACTCATGGAGATTGCGCCTCTCTACCCCAGCTTAAGGTGGTGGGACGAAATCAACTCCTCCTCGCGATGGCAGAGCGCCGTTTTCTACTTCCTCTGCGCTGCTTACGCTCTCGTCTCCTCCATCGCTCTCGTTCGTTTCCTCCTTCTAAACCTATGCTCTTTTTTCTACCTATTCTTCTATTTGCTTAACCAATGCACTCTTCTTCTTATTTCCCGCAGATTCAATTGATAAGGATTGAAGTTAGAGTGCCTGAGTATGGTTGGACCACGCAGAAGATTTTTCATCTCATGAACTTCATTGTCAACGGAGGTCGCCATTCTTCCTCATTTCAGGATCTTTGTTTTTGTATTACGTGTTTAACGCCTTTTGTTTGTTTCTTTTTCATTTTGCAGTACGTGCAGTGGTGTTTGGATTGCACAAGCTAGTTTTTCTTTTGCATCCTGAGGTTAGTTTTGTACCCGTCGTGTTTGACTAATGATTGGAAGCTTGGTAGTTGGTATGCTGACAAAGAGTGGCTATGCTTGTTTGATTAGGCATTGATTTTGGTGCTATTAGATCTGCCAGGACTACTGTTTTTCTCGACATATACACTTCTAGTCCTTTTCTGGGCAGAAATTTATCACCAGGCAAGCCAAAATCCTCTTTATCCTTTTGAAATTATTTATTTTTGCTGTTATGAACTAGTACCTCTTTTTATTGAATGAAATAGAACTGCCTCAAAAAAAAAAAAAAGAATTATCTGTATTCGCATGATCAAGGAAATTCTAATTATTTATTTATCTTTTTCCATTGACGGAACAGGCACGGGGTTTACCAACTGATAAGCTCAAGATAGTTTATATTTCAGTAAATGCTGCCTTATACATTATCCAGGTATCTATCTCGTTTTCTGATCTACAATATATTATGGTACGGTGGTGTTTCCTTCGTTCCCATTATTCATGCCAATACACTCGATCAAAGCATAATGATACGAGCATCTCCCCTGCAACTGCAATATGGTTGGACTTTCACTTGAACTGTTTATGCCTTTGAAACATATCGTTGTTTTTCCTGCCTGCATATTCCATGTTTTTTAAATGGAAAACTGCTCTTTATTTTGGTTTTTAATGTCGCCTGATTTTGGTCAGAAACTATCATACTGCAGCTTCTCGATTTATAACCTGTTATATTGTCAACATTTCTGCACCTGCATCCACCCACTTTGCTGGAACAGAATAGTAGTGGTCAATAGAAGTAGTATGGGAAAAAAGAAAGACGGTTTTAGCTTACAATCTTTTGGTTTCTAGAAATATCCCAGCATATGAATTTCCAGGAGAGTTGTACATGTTGATTGTTAACCAAATGTTCAACCATAGTTTATTTGGTTTGATAATTGTTGACTTTTAGAAAGGCAATCATTTTTATGCCTTAGTTATGGTTTACTTCTGTTTACTTTTTGCAAGATGCATGTTGTGCAAAGCATATGTTTCAACACAAACAGGAATAATTTCTTTGATAGTTGATGTCAATAATCATAATACTAAAGGGAGGCTTTGGATTTAGGTTTGTATTTGGATATACCTCTGGATAGATGATAACAGTGTCGTGCAGTTCATTGGAAAGATATTTATTGCAGGTTAGCTTTCTAATCAAAGGTTGATCATGTTAATATGTTTCACAACCACCTGTGAGCTTCAGAAAGGGTTTTCTACCTTAGAATAATACATTGCTATAAGCATAGACATTTATTAACAATGTTTTTTCCCCCCATTTTCTTCAGTTGTGTCATTTATGGCTGCACTAGGCTTCTTGATATATGGAGGAAGGTGAGGCTTCTGCATTTTGTTTGACTTGCTATTGTCTTGTGAAATAATATTTTGAGGTCTCTGTTTCTTTCACTCACCGGTAATTTGTGTTTGTTATGGCTGGCCTTTTGATTTACCTGTGAAACTGTTAAATGTTTCTAGATTATTTTTCATGCTGAGACGCTTCCCAATTGAATCTAAAGGAAGAAGGAAGAAACTTAATGAGGTATAAGCATTTTTTTTCCTAAGTGTATATATTTGATAGTATGCCTTTGTGAAAATCATGTTGTGCCACTACAATACTGAAAGGTACCCCCCCTCCTCTGATATTTAATATATTGCCAAATTGGTCCATGTGCCGGTATTTCAATAGTAAATGTTTGTCTATTTTTGTTATCTCTTCATTTCTATTCCTCTAATGGGCATGGGAGTGTTTACGTCGGTTAGTTAATTTATTTCTTTTATAGGAGAAAAAGGATTTTCTTGAACTTGCAACAGCTAAAACCAGTAATGAAACGGAGCTGTTAAATGTTCTCAAGTGTTTGGATGTACAGGGTGTTGGCTTTGGATAATGAGATCATTGTCTAAAATTTTGTGTCATGAAGAGTTCTTTTGTTACCTTCGTTCATGGTCTTGTTTAAAGGATGAACCATGTGAACTCTTGTACCTCCTTTATTGATTTCTCTATCTCATGCCTTGCTTTTCCTCTATAAAATTCAAATTGTGCTCCACTGCTAAAACTTCTAGCAAATGATGGAAAAGAGCATGTTGTGCATTGTATTTTCATGCAATTATTTGTGCCAAAGATGTAATCAGTTTTAACTAGCTTGTTTATTTTCCTATTTTTAAATCACAACAAATCAATATACTTTCCATTTTAGGCATAGACATTTTTATTTATATATTACAAATCTATAGTCAATGGTCTATAACAGTACACATTTTAAACAATAAGGTTAAGTTCTGTGTGTACCCTTAGAATTAGAAATAGTTGTCATCATTTTATGAACTGAGAAGAACCCGCACTGGCTTTCTTCTGTTATATTCCAAAATATAACAAGATGAAATTGAAAAATAATTGTTCATATGAATACTACTTGTATTTATGTAACACGGGCTGGGTATTGCAGGTCGGATCGGTCACAGCCATCTGTTTCACCTGTTTTCTCATAAGATGCGTTATGGTAACTTCTGCCTTTATTATCATATTTATCTTTTTTAATGCTCAATTAAACATTTTCATAAGCTTGTCTATGTAAATATATCATGTAGAATTTTAATTTTTGTCTGCTTGTCTTCTGCGCATTGTCATGTGTTATCGTGTTACTTCATATTACACTTCATTAATATGAGTCTTCTTCCCTCTGCTTACAACATAAATAAGAGATGTTACTGTCAGCAGACATGCAAAAGAATGTGAACATGTCTACTAACTCTTAGTGCAGCAGTAGACATTTTATATATTCCGTGTCATATTTGGGTTTCTCCTTAGTTATAGTACATTTAAACATAAGTTTACTGTGATCTTATTTTGTTTACTTTCTTCCTATTACTAAAACCTTTTTGTTGTATAATTCATGGAAATGTAATTTTTTCTTTTGATAATAAAAAATGAACATGTGTATAATGTAGTTAATCAGAAAGTGTAGTTGGATATGAGAATCTTATAATATGGGTTTCGAGTGCAATACTGTTAGACATGCTCAAACAATTTTAGTTTGAAAAGAAGTAAGAGGGAGAAGATGGAAATCGAAAGAGCACTTAGAACTCTTTAGTGGTCAGCATGATAAGTGGGTGATCAAATGCAAAGTATGTCCCATGTGGAGATGAGTTTTAGGGAAAAAGCAAGGCAGAGATTTTAAGTCTTCGATGTGAGAACTAAAGCTGTAGAGTTAATGTTAAATAATGAGTTGTATGGTAGTGTTCTTCAAGCAGAATAACTTTTTTCTTAATCACACTTTTGATGTGCGTGCAGGGTTTTCTGTCTGCATTTGATTCAGATGCATCTCTTGATGTTTTGTACCATCCTATTTTGGACTTGATCTATTACATGGTATGCTGAGTATTCCTTTTTGTTGATTGCCACTTGAAGTTTGATTTCTCACTTTCTCGACATTTGGAATTTACTTTTTACTTTTCAAAAAACAGTTGGTTGAGGTCCTACCTTCAGCTTTAGTCCTCTACATCCTGCGCAAATTGCCTCCAAAGAGAATATCAGCCCAATATCATCCTATTCGTTAACTGCTGTTCATATTGGATCCTAATTTATTAATTTACCTGGCCCATTGTTTATGATTTTAATGGTTTTGGGTTAGATAGATACTTTTAAGTTCATTTGGAAAAGCAGATAAAGAAAAAGGATCCAGATAAAGTCTCATGGCAGTAGTTCTTATATGGTGACACTCAGCAGTTGCTACCTGGGAAGGATACTTTGGATTCAGGTTTTGTACGATGCAATGACAAGTCTCAAGAGCTCGAGTTAGTTTCTGCAGTTATTGTCCCTGCCCAAAGAGAAATTGTTGTAGTGTAGGCACAAGCTTGTAATGATGATCTATTTACAAAAAAGCATTTTATACAATGTTGAGTGTCTTAAAAAAAATATTTCGTTTTGTTTATTAGTTTAGAAATACTTCAATTTGAACAAAATGAAAATTGTCTCTTGATTATTATGAAGGGGTGTCACTTGGAATTGAGTTCTTGATCTTATGCAACAAAACTAAACTTGTGTTCTTTTAGAGGTAAGGGAAAAAAGAATAAGTTTTTAAATATGAATTAATTTTTTAAATTTAATCTTAAAAATTAAAATGCACTGACAATATGAATTTTTTACACTAGCATACAATTATAAAAAATCATGTACGATGAAATTGCTAACTTTTATAATTGTTATTATACAAATCATATTTAAGGTGATTCTTAATTGATTAGATTTTATTTTTTTTTACCACAATACATAAGAACTAAACGCATCAGTAAAAAAATATTAACAAAGAGGTTAATTCATGTTCATGTTTGTTGAGCACAGTGGTTTTCTTATATGCAACTTTTTCATACACTAAACATGGTCAATAAGATTCGGTGATGATTAGCTATTGGCAAAGATGATGGATGTTTTATACTATTTTTTTTTATTGACAACGTGTCAAAATTAAATTCATCAGTTATTTCATTATTAATTCTTTTACATTCTAATCTAAACACACTTTAATTATTTTAATAATGTATAATATATTATTACGTGAAAAAACCTTGTTTTTTTATATAGTATATAACGTAACGAATTTAATTTATAAATTCAGTTTAATTTTCATGCAGCTTTAGTGTAAAACATTATCATGTAGCAAAAAAGTGTAAATACATTATTAACCAAATATAAATTATCATAAATATGGCGTTTAAAGTAATTAATAAAAAATAAAAATTCTATAATAATCTGTAAAAAAACACAATCCATTCCACAGTCAATATATTTAAATTATGAACAAAAATTAAAAATAGTTAAATTAAATTCTTATTCTTATAAATTAATTAACAAATTATTAAATGTCAGTATTTGCAATCTGGGTGAACAATCTGGGTTGTTCAATAAAAAGTATATATATCGAACGGTTTAACTTGTGCGTATTGTATATACGCTGATAATAGCAGAATATGGTATATTGTATTGGTAACAGCGTATAATAGTACAGTACTCAGTAGGGTGCGAAAGCAAAACGGTCACAAGATTTGAAATTCGAAATTCAAAAGAGTCTACTCTCCTCTTGCCTCGTCTTCTTCTTTCATTTCACTTCCAACAGAACTCAGCAATGGATTGCGACGAACCTCCCTCTCCCTCTCCCTTTCCCCATTCTTCTTCCCTTCTGAAGGACATTTCCAACTTCACAACCCCCAGACGACCCCCATTCTCTCTCACCGCCCAATCTCCCTCCACCCAATTCTTCACCGCCTCCAAGCACGCCTCCTTCCTCCGCCGTCCCAACAAATCAACCGCCGCCAAGAAACTCAAGGCCTTCCAATTGGAGCAATCCCAGTCCTCCCGCAAGGCCCAAATAAAAAAGGAGCAGTCCCTCAAATCCCTCGCTAAGTCCCTATCCGTTTGGCTCAACTTCTTACTCCAAAACCCTACTTCCTGCGGCTGCCACTTCTCCGCCCCTGCCGATGCCGCTCCCTCCCCTAGCGGCAAGCGAGACGGCGCCCCCCCAACCTCCGTCGCCGTCGATTCCACGTGGCGAACTCCCAAGCGCCCGAGGAAGACGTCCTTTGCTAAGGACAGTGCACCCGCGGATGTTCCTGATCCCTCATTTTCTCACCTCAGGGATTCTCTCAAGGACCTCTGCAGTTTCGATGATTTGAAGCAGCGAATGAGGGTTTATCTTAGCCTCGCAGCTTGTAAAGAGATCTTCCAACAAATGAATCGCGTCACCAAGGTTTCTTTTCTCTTCCATTACCATAGCCATTAAATTTGTGTCCATTTCGATCCCTTCTTATTCAATGAATGATGTATTCATTTCCTTTTTTTGGCTTCTTAGACTATTGATGAAGGGAGGCTGAATATGAAGGCGCATTGCCCTGTAGTAACCGAACTTGGGTTGAAGGATAAGGCCACCAGAATCCTCATGTGTTATAATCCAATTTGGCTGCGAATTGGATTGTATATAATTTTTGGGGGTGATTCCTTGGTGTTAAATGGTGATGTTGATTCTGATCAAGATGTTGTGTTCTTGAGAATGGTCATTGATAAATTATTTTTCTCGCACGAGGGTTTAGCTAAAGCGTATGCTTATAACAAGATGGTTGAAGGCGTCTACAGGTCGGGTTACTATGAGAATTTGGGGAATGTGATTTTGAAGAGAATTTTGTTGCTTGTGCTTGTTCTGGATAAAGCTAAATGCCAGAGTTACCTCCCACTGGAATATGGTATTGATGGATTGGATGGGGGTTCCCCTTTGTTATTCAAACCAGAATCCAGGATTAAATCAAGTAGTCAGCTGATTCATGGTACGTCTTCTTTCATGCTTGAGTCCTATTTGCTGTTATTATTTTTGCAACAGCGGCTTCTACATTGTATTGTTGACTTTTCTCTCGTTTTGGTTGGAAATCAGAATTTCTATCGTCTGATGTAATGCATGGAGAAGGCAATCTTCTAACGCATTTGGTGATTTTAGGTTACAAATTATCTCATCAACAGGTCAGTCATTCCTTCCATATGCTATGCTCATCTACGCGTGTCAGGTTGTCTGTTAGTGTATGTGTGAGCTTGCACATGGAAGTACGAAGCTTATTTTTGGGTGTCTTGGACATTTTATAACAATAGTGGTGCTTCACTTTAATGTTTATGCCCTTACAAATTTGTGAAGAGGGGCACCGTATCAAGTTCAAGAAATGTTTTATTTGACTGACTTGTGCTTTTCAGGAGCCTCTTGTCGAGTATGATTTCAGGGTCAGAGATTTGTTTGTAGATCTCCAAGATGGATTAAAATTGTGCAGAGCAATTCAGCTTTTGCAGCAGAATTCTTCGATCCTCATGGTCGGTTATGTATATTTTCAAATATTGGAAATCATAGTAGCATATTTGGCACTTGTGATGTTATTAATTTCTCTAGACAATCCATTTAGTTAAGAATTGTGATGCGTAATCATTGTCTGTACAGAAAATCGTGGTTCCCCCTGATACTTCTAAGAAAAAACTGGCCAACTGCGCTCTTGCCCTAAAATATATTAGGCAAGCTGGTGGGTCACTACTTGATGAAGATGGCATTACGATTGTGGCAGATGATATTGTTAATGGAGACAAAGAACTTACACTCTCCTTGCTCTGGAATATGTTTGTTCATTTGCAGGTGGCAGTTCTGTTTTTACCTTATTTTTTTGAGTTTCTATACTTGTTTTTCGATATGATTACCATTAAATTATAACCTAAACGGCAATGTAACTTCTGATGCCATTGGACCTGCAGCTACCTCTTTTGGTTGATAAAACAAGTTTAGTTGGGGAAATTTCTAAAATTCGAGGATTTGGCACGGTATGCTCCTTGTTAGATAAGTTTGTGGTTCAATTTAGTTATTAAAAAAAAAAATTTGTCTCCTATTATGGTAAATAATCTCAATCGTTGATGAGAAAATCAATGGTTGATATTACAACACACATGATTTGTTATGCATGTGCATGTAATATATTATTAACCATTGATTTTCTCATAACAACTGAGATCACTCACCTTACACTCTGAAGTGAGTTCAGCTCACAATTTCCATTATGATTGAGCTTTGAATTTTCTTCCATCTTACAGGATCTTATAAACAATGCGAATTCTAGTTCTCTTGAATTGCTTTTGAATTGGATTCAGGTACAGTCCTAGATTACTTTCACAAAAGCACAGTAATTTTCCTAGACTTTTTGTTTTTTGCTAGAGGTTAATCAGTATTGTTGAACATAATATTTCTTCTAAATTCATCTCAATGCTTTTATTGATTAAGATTTTCTTTGTATTTTATATTTTTGATAAAATTGATTCAGTCATTCTTATTGCAACATTTTTAACTGATACTGTGTTGTTGGGTAGTTAGATTAATGCATTTTGTTTTGTTTAGGCGTATACAGTTCCATAATTAGTTTTTCTTTGATACTGGTTGGTCTGCTACACTTAATTTCAGGATTTTAGTTTTATTTTCTTGCTTGAACTTCAGATAGTGCATCTGTAATTTTTGAGATCTTGGTATTTATTTAATTAAAAAAAAATCCTTACTCTATCTGCATTGTGACCTTGTTCTTCCTATTTTGCAGGCAGTTTGTGACAGTTATGATTGTACAATTGACGATTTCCATTCCCTTGTGGATGGCAAAGCTATCTGGTGCTTACTTGATTACTACTTCCAGAAAGAACTTCATAATTCCTGTTCATTGAAGGTCTTTAACTTCTTTAGATTCCTGCTGACTGCTATTAATAACTTGTTGTTTGTAAGCTTTATTTTTCATTTTTTACAGGAAGTTAATAAGAAAAGTGGCAAAGCATCAATTATGTCAGTCAACGAATATTCAGATGCACTTTATAATTTTATATTATCCCAAAAGTTGACTACATTACTGGGGAACTTCCCAGAGGTAAATACCCTGATTTGTGTCAATATCTACTTGCATGCATGCTGGAAGTGTTGTCGAGACATGGTCACATGATCACGTCTCCTAATTGAGAACATTGATTGAAACGGATGCTATCTGTGATAATCGATGCACTCTAATACCTACCAGTGATTTGGACTAGTTAAAGTTGTAAATAATTCCTTTTGTGAAGAGCAATATTTTTTTTTTCTGTGTCGAAGCCTGGACAAAGCACAAAATGCACAAAAACGTGCTAAAATTTGAATATAAGTATTGATCATTTCCTAATTGTGCATGCATGTGAAATATGCCAAATATGTGTATACAATGTATATATATATATATATATATATATATATATACATATAGAGGAGGGATCCTTTTACTCCAGGAGTAAGTCTAGGTAGACTTACTCCATTCAATAACTCATGTTCTACATCAAATTTCAACGATCCAACCGTTCAATTTAAAGTTCTTAATGCATAGATCAAATCTACAAATTTTTAGAAAATTTGAAAATTATTTGATATTTCGTTTCATTAATTCGATTCAATGTAATGATTTTATGATTATCCGTCAACTTGAATTAATGAAATGAAGTATCAAATGATTTTCAAATTTTCTAAAAATTTGCAGATTTAATTTATGCATTGAGAACTTTAAATTGAACGGTTGGATCGTTGAAATTTGATGTAAAACATGAGTTATTGAACGGAATAAGTCTAGGTAGACTTACTTCTAGAGTAAAAGGATCCTTCCTCATACATATATATATATGATTGAATTCATCTCAACTTTTCATTAGGAACTAGTTCATAGAATACACGGAATACAAACTAGCATGTGATTTTTATTAAAACCAGAAATAGAACCTGACCCAGAGCCTCAATGCCTAATAGATAAAGTGTTTTTCTCTCTAAAAAACAAAGCAAAAATGCATAACCAGCTAACACAATTGCTGCCTCCCCCTCTATATTCCTATCCTGCACCCCTATTCAACATGGCAGCTCAGCGTTCTCCATTTTCTATAACTTGTTTTCTTCATCTTTCGATCATGCATTTTCAAATTTCCAGGCCTTTCAGAATTTGGGTCCATATTCTGGTCCAATACTCTAGCAAATTCTATGAACGTTCAAAATTGTGTCAAAATGCACAATTCGCAATTATTATGGTTGTGTAACGGAATTCAGCTATATTTTTCTTCAGGTACTCCAAATTAGTGAGCTACTTCAATATAATGGTGCTTGCAGCGATAGAAGCGTGGTGATTTTGTTGGTTTTCCTAGCAAGCCAATTATTTGTCAAGAAAAATGTGGTAAACAGAGTAAAAATTATGGTTACATCCTGTTGCTGTCATACTCAGGAATTTGTGTTAATTTGTATCTCCCTTTCTTGTCTTCCTTTTCAGGATCACTTAAATTTCCATAAACTCTTGGGTTATGACTGTCAAAGTCCAAACCGTAGACATTTGAGGATGGTACGGTGTCTTTCAAATTTTGAATCAGTACAAAAGACTGATGCTTTCGATGTGCATGGCAATGGAGGTTTGTTGACTCTCTAGTGTTGTGAACTTTAATTATTTATGCATGTCACTTGTTTGTGTTTATTGTACTTCTATGAATATATTGATTAATTTGATTTTGATATATGGAATTAATTTTCCATTTATAAAGGCTTATATCTTACTTTATCTAATGATTCTGCTACCTACCAACATAAACTTATGTTAATTATGTAGGTTTTATTGTGATGATAGTTGTACCATTTGGATTTCTATGACTCTAGTATCATGAATAAGAGTGGGAACGATTCATATCGTTTTAAAATAGTAGTAGTAAATAAGTTGGCCTTTGTCTTTAAAATATATGATATCCTTCAATATAGGTTTTGTCCTGGAATTAATGCCAGCCCATATGCAGTTCTTTCATTTGCATGATAGTTGGCCTTGAGTTCAACAGTGTGTCATCTTTCATTTCCCTTGTTCTGTGGCAATATTTTCTGTGTGATTATATTAGTGTCCTAAAATAAAATATCCCAGATTAGTGAGAACAATGATATGGTCTTATTCAAGAATTATTATTTTTCTTTCTTCATACCATGAATTTTTTTTATCAAGATCTTGTTATTTATTAAAATAGATGCTGCGAGAAAATTCAAGGCCATCCAAGCTTGGTGGGAAGATATGGCGGAAAGAAACCGTATCAATAAACCAGCTGTCTCTAGTTTGCAAATATCCAGAACCACTGAATGCAGCACCAACATTAGAAGAGGTAAGTAATAAGACTTGCATAATCCTATTTGTTACTATTGGTATTTGGTACTTAATGGTACAGCTGTATTTATTTTCTTCTTAACATTTTCAGAAAATGCTGCAAGAACAATACAACTGCATCTCAGAGGATTGGTTGTACGGCGCAAATTTCTGAAGATGGTAAATGCAGTTGCCCTTTTGCAAACTGTTTTCAGAGCTTGGCTAAAAGTGAAGCAAGAGCCAGTATGCATGATATTATCTTCTGTACGAGTTTGTGACTCTTCATGTGGTATGAAGTTTATCAGTTTGTCTCAAACATGTGTTGGTGTTATGTTCCATTGCTTATTGGCATGTCTTGTTTATTCAATCTCACAGAAATATTGAAGCAATCAGAGACATATAAGAGATATGCTATGCTTTTCATACATAGACATTCCTTTCTGAGGTTGAAGAGGTCAGCACAACTTATCCAGCAAGCAGTTAGGAGTTGGCTCTGTAGGAGGCATCAGCAAGAATGTAGTATAGGTCCTACTCATAATCTTATGATTTCAGATATGGTGGTGGCTGCAGTCACTGTTCAGAAATTTGTTCGTCGTTGGATGGCACAATCTAGATATATTCATCAGCTAGAGCAGAAAGAGAAAGCTTTAAATTTTTCCCAACAGAAAGTCACTTTTGATCTTCAAACAAATGCAGCCATTACCATTCAGTTCGCTTGGAAAAAGTTCATATGCTGCAAGTCTACTCGGAAGCAACACTTTTTTGCTACTAAAATTCAACAAAATTTCCATAGGTGGTTGTTGAGAAAAAGGTTTTTAAATCAGATTCAAGCTGTCATAAAAATCCAATCTTACTTTCGAATGTGGAGATGTGTAAATGCTTTTCAGCACTTCAAAATTGAGTTTAAGGCAGCTGTAGTCATTCAATCTTTCTTTCGAGGATGGTTTGCACAAAAGGATGCTTGTGCACGTAGGAATCATATTGTTGAAATTCAAGTAAGACAGTTGTGTGCTTTTCATAATTATATTTTATTTCATTTATTTTGCATGACTAGTTTAGCATGAAGAAATTAATGACTCGTAGTGGTGTTACTTCTTTTGATGGCATTTATTGTGCACAGATGTTACTTATACAAGGCATTGTCCTTAATGTTATGATTTTTCTGTAGAAATTAATAATTCCTATTCTAGTTGACGTTTTTGAATTTTGGAGAAATGCCTTGCATTTTTTTACCCAAAAGTTTTAGTTATAGAATACTATGTAAGTTGTGACTTTGCTTTAATGATTCCAGAAGCATTGCCGTGGTTGGCTTGTGAAACGGGACTTCTTGTTCCAAAGAGATGCTGTAATAAAGATCCAGTGTGTGATTCGAAGCTTGAAGTGCCAGAAGGCTCTCAATTGCCAGAAAGATGCTGCTTTGGAGATCCAGCGTTTTATAAGGGGGCATTTATCTCGGAATCAGCTATTAGGTTATTAGTTAATGTTTTATGAAGCTAATTTTATTTGCTTTAGTTGTGGTTTCTTATTATGTCACCAATATACTAATATCTCATGTTTTGGGTGATGTAGGTAGTGCTTCCAAGTCACGCAGAGCTATTCCTGCTAGTCACATTTCAAGATCATTTGGTCTTTGTAGTTTTCAACTGGAACTATTCTTGTTCTCGGTTGTGAAATTGCAACGATGGTGGAAGGGTTTCCTGTTGCTTAAATTAATGAATAAGTCGGCCATCATTATTCAGTCATGTATCCGTGGGTGGATAGTCAGGCGAAAAGCTACTGTTTACAGACACCATCTTGTCATCCAAGTATGATATTCTAGTTGTTATCATGATATACAGATACTATGCTGTAGCACTTGTTTTACGTTGCTGCTCACATGCTCAGGGTATTTTGAGTGAACCAATAATATTATTGGTTTAAAGATATTGTAATTTCTGGGGAAATTTGAGCAGAAGATGTGATATTTTTATAGAATATAAGCTGTTGTTTATCCGTACGAATAATGAAAGGGAGCAAATTGAGTGTTTCGGGGTCGAACTAACTCAGCCCTTAATAGCATGTTTGGGGTTTCTCGTTGAGAACTCCAGTGTTTGTCCGAACTACGGTTTGGGGTTTTTACAAACAGAAACAAATACGTGTTAATTTTTTAAATTATTAAATCATTATGATGCTGCTACTGCTGGTAACTAAAGCCCAATTTTCATTTGTTGAGTTTGTTTTTTTTTTTTTTTGTTCTTATTACTAAAGTCTCTTAACTGCCATTTGCCAGGAAAATGCTGCGTTGGTGATTCAACGCTATATTAGGGGGAATTTAACTCGAAATCGGATACTAGGTAATACATTTTACGAGTGTTTGATGCATTATCTAATGGTTTTGCATTTAGTTGTAAATACATTATCTCATTATCTTGTGTTTTCCTGATGGTAGGTGGTACTTCTAACGTAAGTGCAGTCATTCCTGCTGG